GCTCAAGGGCTGTCAGGTTGCTCAAGCCTAGACGGGAGCAGCTGACATTGGGTTGGAACGAAGACTTTCTTGTCCATAAGTTGTTGGCTTATCCTCTGACCCACCTTGAGCTCATTTTGAAATCAGGGTTTAGCCAGTGTCTATAGGGAAAACCAATCGAAGGTCACTTTACCCTTCCTTAAGATGCTCACGGTAGGTCGTACTGAGGACTTTACAGAAAAAATGCTTTGGAATGGATATGTTACTATACGGTATTAAGACCTATCGGACTTAATCCATCACTTTTCGTAGGGAAAATATCTTTCGTTTTCACTTACAAGTGTGCCATACGCATTATTCAATGCCCATGACGTTTTGTGAAGAACCATACAAGAAAAGGATTTGTGAGTGATTGTGTAAATTTATCTGGGCTGCTCTCAAAATCCATGAATGTTTCCTGGATGGCAGTCATCTCTACGGGCCCACTGTTATGTGCTAGACTTTTTGAGTAAGTCGGACTCACACGCCAAGGCAAACCTGCAAGTCAGTACGCAGCCTTTAAACTCAGCCTTACTTCCGTGTTCGGCTTTATTAGAACTTTGCTTCGTCTTTCGCTGATATTTTTGGTATAGTTTGATTTGAAGCTGCCAATTCCCATTAAAGGCCGACCACCTGCAGTACTCATCTATTACACGATTGCTAGCTTCATTCTCGACGCCGCCCCAGAACAGCACACTGACACATTGGGCCAAAGGGCCATAAACGATCTTTCGCCATAAAAGAGGAATATGGAAACCCTAATCTAAACTCTCATGCTACCTTTTCCACTTGTGACATTCAAGCGGCATCTCGACGGTGGTTAGTAGCACTCTCGTCCCTTATTTATCCAGATGAACGTTCATGACCCCGTTTTTAACTTAGACTATGTAGTTGTGGGCCTTCGGGATCACTGGTAAACATTCGTTCCTTCCAATTTCAGTCGGCTTCTGGGTGCCATGCTTTCTACGAGAAGGCCGTCCCTTCACATACTTCGGATCGCGTGTCGCTGATATCCGCTTTGAACCAAGTTGTTCATGCCTGTTCCGTGGTAACAATCCTTATAGGCATGCATCAAAGGAGCCTACACACACAGCACCAAAACATTCTGCCAAAGTGTTCGGGTCCCTAACTCACTTGCATGGTCGTTAATCGGCCGACATGATGTTTACTGTGGTATCTACGCCTCGTCCGGGGACTTGTTTTTTAGTGGATCTCATGGTTTGTGGCCTAGTATTGTCCTATTCCATTACGTAAAGATGGTGTTATCCGTATATTTGACTCCTTTGGCGCCTACTTGCGCCTGCTGGAAGAAATCCCCTGTCCCAATTCGTATTGGAGTGTTGTTTCACTGTGCCTAAGGTGAGTGATTGCTTCGTCATCCCAGCTAAATTCACTGTAGTCCTAGTGAACGACTCTTGGCCTACACTATACTCTCCAGTCAAAGTAAGTCTCTTCGATTGGGACTCTTGATACCCCGTAGTGAACTTCAGGCAAAACAATTATATTGAGCCAAAGGGACTGCTGCACCTAATAAAGTCTGATAGCCCAAGAAAACAGAGTCTAAGTTTATTATCATGGCTTGGAAATGTAGTTTTATAAAATGGAATCCACTTGTCATCTAAGCGTGGCTTGAAGTAGCTCTTTGGATGGATAGATTGGATATTTCTCCGTTTATTGTCCACTGGCTTCATCATAAACTGAGAAACGCGCATGCATATAGGTTTTCGAGATTTCTGTTCCGACCGATCGGCGTCGATATTAGCAGCATTATCAGCATTTAACATTGACGCTCCATTTATAACTCTGTCAGTCTTACGCTGAAAATATGACAGTTGGAACAGGACAGGGACGAATGGTAACCTTGCGCAGCTATCGGATGTTTCTTCAAGTGAAACTATTCGGAAATCAAAACTTTGGAAGAGGAATATAGCGTGCAATCACGGCATTAAACCCTTGTGTGTTGAAACAAGCACGCTGTATATATAGTTTGCAGAATGTACATAAAACCTTGCGAACTTCCTGGAGGTGAATTTAATATGAGTGCTGGAGATGACTCGTCAACATCATTCTATGGTTTCCGATGGTGAGCTGCTAGGTATTGTTTAGGAAACGACGTCGGATTCTTGGAAGTTTAAACGGTTCAGGATAGTTGGAGATTTGCTTAAGAAACTCTTACTTCACAATCTCCGACTTAAGCGCTTACCGCGTGAATCGAGATTTTTAAAGGGCCTTCCATATAAAAGGCGCGTGAAAATCGACATGGAAATGTAGAAAGATGAACAAAGAGTGTCTGGTAAATCTTGGTTACTCTGAGGAGTTCTGGATGGCATGCTTGTCAAGGTGAGATTTGATGGCTACCAATGCGGATCACTTCCAGATGTGCAAAATCCAGGGTTTTTCCATAATCTACAGACCCGACTAATAGGTAGAACGGAATTACTAGTTTCAGATACACTGGTCGACTCTAGTCAGCAAAATCTCACTTATCATTGATAAGTAAGTTGTCCAGAATTGGGTTGTGAAGAACGTGAAAGAGTTCCGATATCGTGGGAGGCAGCAAATCAAGTTAAACCAGTTTACGTTTTCTGCACCACCAGGTTTTCAACCACCAGGTTTTTTAGCTTCCCAACGCGCATGAAGATAACACGGGAATGACAGAGAGAGTGAATACATGAGAATCCAACTAGATAATTGGTCACGTTTTAGGATCCAGAGGACGGTTCATGATTCACAAGGTGCGTACCAAGTAGGGGTTCGAACTTGGAGCACCTTTATAGCTTTGGATGGACTTAGGTGGTCATCTAAGGAATGCAACTATAGGCGAAAATGTGTTTGTAAGGTCTCCAAACGCTTCCAAGAGCTTCGGGTTGGTGGGATTTGTATTTTATCGAGTTGCATGAGCTGTGGGTTCCTCCAGACTGCTCACTAAGATCATTTTGCTTCTACCTGCATTAGTGACCTTGACACCATAGCTCTTCCCAAGAATTGTTGCGAATAATCAATGTTTTTTTCATAGAGAGGACTTGTCTCATACTTGAAAATCGTCTGTAGGATACATATCATTTTGTATTCACAGTTCACCTAATTTCTCTGGACAAGTCGGGCACACGCGATCGGGTCAAAATTGTGGACGATCTTTCTGATCAAGGATCCGTCTCTAAAACGTTTTCTGTCTGTTTCGATGGGACTGGGACGCGTCTAATTTCGGGGTAGGTTGATTCAGGTCGTCATCATTACTTCGTTTTCGTCTGATGTCTAGCCATGAGCCACTGACACGAGAGCTGCACTCGTCGAGCAATAGTGATTGAATCACTTGGCACATGTGCACACACCGTTCGTGGTATATTTGCACATAGGCCTCAAATGATTAGAATACATGTGAAGTTCGACCGTTAGTTCCACTCAAGGCGCGTTCTGATCGTGCTCCCCAAATTCATTTTTGGTTGTTGTTTCAAGTGGTTTATTGGTCCCTTATTCTTTGTGGCACGACGATGCAGAGTTGCATGGGATCTGTGAGTCGTCGTTAGGGGACAGCATGCACAGTGGATCTTCCGAGTTTGAAATCCAATTTTTCAGCCGATTTTTCATGACTAGTCGCTCAACAAGAGCGTTCAGCTGGAATTTTATGGTTCATGGGACTAGTTCCGTACCCGATGGCATTCTATTCCATCACTGTTTGATCCCTGAAGGAGCTCGAGATGGCTTGAATGCACTGACCAGAAAGTCCGTGGTTCGAACCCCACCTCTGCGTCTCAACCATTCCTGTCTGGGCTTGGACGACCTGGCACTCTCCCGGCCCTCGTTCATCTTCCGGGCGGCCTGGCAGCTAGGCACCGGAAGGTGCTGCAGCTGAACTATATGTGTACATATTTCACTCCTTAAAGTGTGTGGTGTCGAGAACTCGATCTCTCGGTCGGATTTCACCTAGAGATTACAGGTGAATTCGGGTAGTTCAAGTTTCGTGATGACCGAACGGAGTTTGCTCTTGCGTCTTACATAATCTATCCGGTTTTCCCCACCCTCTTCGTTTTGCGCCTACCATTTGTTCATCGTTATGGTCACATGTCACCTGACGTTTATCAGTAGGGATGCACGCAATTCCGTCAAGCACTCAACAACCATGACTGAGTGGGCATCAATAAATGTCGTGCTTGCTCTGCTTGTATTGTTTTGTTCAGCTATTTGGGTACGTTTACCTTCAGCTGACCTCCCTGTTGAGAATAGAGTTTCCGCTTTCTTACCGTCATTGCTTAGGCTCAGACGTTGTAATCTTTTGGAGCTTTCGTAGCTGACAGTCTGCGGACACAATTGTTTTTCTCAGGATCTTATTACGGCTTCTTAATTGTCAAAGGGAACGTTATTGGCTTTTCAGCAGGTATGATAGGTCCATCTCACCTCATCTGATTTCCTCTGCTGGATCAGGTAAATGATACTGACGTTTGTTTGTGTAAATTGTTTGGTGATACGTCTCTTCCTCGTCGTGGTTTTCCATCAGTGGTCAAACTGCTTGGTCAAACCTGAATCCGTTTTCGATCGTTCAGAGAGGGCCCAGGGCGAACCAAGACAGGACTAACTTCACGAATGGCCGGTTCAGAGCCTACACAATACCCAGATGTTGTCTAGCAGGGGTATCCGGTGGTTTGCTCATGACTGATACCTCTGGCGTGTACCCATCTGATAAATTGAGTGACAATGTAAGGACTATCACGACGGAATCGCTCGTTTTTGGGATGGCTTCCCTCAAACACGTGCACTATGTGTCTAATTGTGAGATTCTGATTGCTAATTTTCATATCTGGATTCCTTGTAGTCGTCTTTGCATCATAGGCTCAGGAATATCATCACAAGCCCCCATATAACTTTTTCTTTCGGTAGCAAGTTCGTTACTCTTTTAGAGATACAGCCCCCGATTGTGATATACGTTCTGCCACTTCCAGAGTTCTGTTTCGTCGTGTTTAGCTTGTTTTGCACCTTTTTCTGAACTGAAGTGGTGCCTTTATTCAACCACTCCCATTTCCGCGGTAAATTTTTATCGTGGCTTCCTAACCTGGCGTTTTAATTTAATTCAGTTTCAATTTATCAGCCATAAACCGTGTCATAGGCACATTGGTTACAGCTGCTACAGTTTCGATCACTGGAAGACGGGAAAGTGGAACATACAACCAAGCCTTGGAGGCGAAGGTTTGTTCGGAAATTGGGTAGCTACGAATCGGAGGCGATAGCTTTGATGCATGAGCGCCAATGACTGCGTGGTTCGGGTCATTTCGCTGGTGGTTTGAGTCCCGGGGTCCCCATCCAGGGAGGCGACAATTGCCCACCCGACTAAGTTTACTGGTTAGTGTTTTCGTACGTTGTTGCCAGATCATACACTGTCCACCTCTCGGTCGTTTCCACTCAGCTCATGGCTGGAAGAAAAGAGCTCTGTGAGGCAGACGGTCTTCTGGCAAGAGGAGTACATGTCCCAGCCAGCGCAATCTATGAAGCGTGAGTAATTCATCTTTCGCAGGAGAGTTCATTCTTTCCAAGACCATCTGGCGTACCTCAGCATTACTAATGCGATGTTCCCACCAGACCTTACCAATGCTTCGGAGACACTGGTAGTCAAACACTGACATCCTCCGTGTGTCTTCTACGCGTAGGGGTCAAGTCTTTGATCCATAAAGCAGTATGGATCTCACCACCGCAGTGTAGACTCCTCTCTAGCCAGTCCACCGGAACTTATACAGCTGCCCAGGTAAACAAATTTATCTACCCCCTCGATTGGCTCACCTGCAAGCATGAGGTGTGAGTTTGATCCCACCCAGTCTTGTAGTAGCACTTCACACTTTTCAGGTGTGCAGCACATGCCAAACCGTGCGGCAGAGTTATTAAGTTTGTTTAAAATAGCTTGCACTCGGGAAGGATCTGAACCAAGGACAGCGATATCGTCCGCACGAGCGGGAATAACTTCTACCTCGGATTTATCCACTGCATTTTGGTCTGACACAGGTATACTGGTGTTGTTACCGTAGGGTTGCAGACAGGATGGTAGTCTGAACAAGGCAGTTGTGTGGTTGTTAGAATAATTCNTTTGATCCCACCCAGTCTTGTAGTAGCACTTCACACTTTTCAGGTGTGCAGCACATGCCAAACCGTGCGGCAGAGTTATTAAGTTTGTTTAAAATAGCTTGCACTCGGGAAGGATCTGAACCAAGGACAGCGATATCGTCCGCATACAGGAACGTCCCGGGAGCATTTTTGCTCCGGATGTTTCGGACGCGGGCAGAGAAGTTTCAAGCAGCATATCAGTAGCAAAGTTGAAGAGGAAAGGGGAAAGAGGACAGACTTGTCTTACACCACTGGATGTGGTGAACTATGGTGAGAGCTTCCCGTATACCCGCACGCGCCCACAGGAGTTCGCATACAGTGCCCTTCTAAGGGATAGAAATTTAGAAGAGACCCGTGTGATTGCCACAAGCTGCTAAAGTTGCTGACAATCGGCAGAATCAAAAGCAGCCTTCAAATCCAGAAAAACGACCAGTGTGGGACGTCTGAAGGAGTGGCGCTTTTAAAGAATTTGTCTCAAGGTAAAGATATGGTCGATGTATCCTCGACCAGGGCGAAACTCAGCTTGATTCCCACGAATCTGTCTCTCCCGATAGTCCATCAATCTGCTCTGCGCAGAACCAGAATGCACTTTAGCTGCAAGGGACACCAGGCTGGCACCACAATGGTTTTCACGACGTTCTTGCCTTCCTTGTGAAAACGGAGGTTACGGTCGAGGAGCTCTGTTCGGCTGGTATTCTGTTTTCGTCACAAATCGTCTGCAGTATGGTTGTCAGATTGTTCACCAGATGCTCCTGACATTGCTTGGAGAGCGCAAGGTGTAGGCCATCCAGATCAGGTGCCTTGTCGCGCCTCAAGATTGGAATCTCACGCTGGATTTTGGTTGCTGATGGTGGCTTGATGTCAGTGTTCCATTCGAGCCCGCTTGGTTCTTCCACCGGTTGTGTTGAGGGAGACCAGGTGAACTGTTCTTTGAAGTGCTCGGCCTGCCGTTCAAGATGGCTATTGAGGGAGTGAATTGTTATTCCGTCTTTCTCGCATATTGTCTCACTGACGCCAGTCTTCTTGTGGCCCGTTGATCGAATTAATTGAAACAGGGCGCAGCGTTTGCCTGCAGCGAAAGCCTTCTCCATCTCCTGGGCCNAACCAGATTTTTTCGTATAAGCACAGTTCTTTCCTCCTTAATGCTTGAGATGAACTGCTGTTCTTAGCTGTGAACTCAGTTCGCGGATATTTTTCGGTAATATGTGGTGTCATAGGTTGTAGTTGGTTTGGGTCATCTATACATTCCCTGCTCCCGTCTTGATTTTCTAGGAATGATCTGGGTTACCTTCGAATACATGACATCGAAAGCGGTGCTTGCGAATTGACGGTGAGTCTTTTGACAAATTCAACTCTACTGTGTAACTTGTCGAATTGTCCGGTTTTCAGTGTCATAATGTTGGTTTTGCACAGTCTTGCTACATGAGGCTTGACGACAGGTTGTGGAAATCAGTCTAGTATTTAACTTACCATACCTTAAGCAAAATGAATACCTTGTCGAATAAAGGTCACTAGCGTTCCTCTCCAACATAACCTAGTGTGCGAACCCTCGAAGAGCAGCCATTTCAAAGAATTCCCAATTCCCATGATCTATCTAAAAGAGAGTAGATCACTGAGAAACGGGCTTCATGTTTCCTCCAGGTTCATTCCTCATTGAAAAATATTACGCTGAATCGTGACTGTTGGGGCTTCCACTCTTCGGAAAAGTAGCTTCTCTTGGGGGTCAATGGATCCCCTTTCTACCATGTTGACCTCCATAGCGTGATTAATGCCAATTCCTAGTCTGTTAGGTTCCTTGTACATTCATGTTATGTGCCGTAAGTAGAATTAAAATACATCGATACGTAGAATTCTGACTAAAAGTTGACCGAACCCGGTGCCTTTCTGTTCCGCCATGCAGGGATATGGCCCACACTCCTTTGACTTGCTTCTCAGACATATGTATGTATGTCAACCTCGCAAAGTCTCGCAATAGCCATTTGTCTTATGGCGAACTAGTAAGGCACAAATGCGTCCGTTGATCCTGTATCCGTATCCGGCTTTTATAGAAAGCAAAGCGTCTTCACAACTCCCGGGGGGTTAAGTATAACCATTTGTTTATCGTACAACTATCAGAATCTTGCCTCTCATCGCTCGATACACCAACCGGTTCATAGCCCTAGCGAACTTCGAACTCTAAATTGATTCTAGATTACACCAACATGTCAGCTGGCACTTCCAACCGTTTCTGTTTGAAGATCGGAGCTCGGGGGTTAGGGTTATCATCCACGGTTTTAGCGCAAGCCTCGCAAGTGTCACTCAAAGACTGCTACCCTGGTTTTCACCTGATAAGTGACAGGCGTTCGTTAGGTTGACCTCCGCCTATGATTAGGAAAAGGTAAAACTGGCATCGAATGACTGTTCTCATTGTAAATTGGAACACAAAGACTTGCGAACAATTGGTTTTGATGATGTCCAGTCGGACCAATACCTTTCAGAGGAATTTATCGATGCCATTAAATCGATACCAGAGAGCAGTGAGAGCAGCGCAGGTAATAACATTGTCACCACTTGTCACCTGTCTACGGCAAACTGGTCGATACCAGAGAGCAGTGAGAGCAGCGCAGGTGATAACATTGTCACCACTTATCACTTGTCTACGACCAGAGAGAGAAAGGGGATAAAGGCTCTAACACAGCCCTGTCATTCTCAACAAACTGGTCCAATAACGGTTGCGAGTTCTAGACCAATGACATTACTTCGTAATGTGCTTACCCTAGAAGGACCAGTGTAAGTGCAAGACCGACAAGATTTGTCAAAATCGTGTGTGCAAACTTCTGTTTGAAATTTAGCAATAACTCCAAGGGTGGTGATTGTATCAGGGGAGAATTCAACACGATTTAGCACCTCAACTAAAAAGACCTCAAGCTGTACGAAAGTGGACCAAACTGTTTTATTTTTCGAACATGTAAAACATGGCGAGTTATTTTTCCATGAAGGTACTAGAAACTATCTTTGAATTGGTTGTTGCTTGTGCAAATAGACACTCAGCTGAGTCTGTCGCGCATAATTTTTTACCAGTTGAGTGTGATGCACGGATTTGAAGAATATTATAAACGAAAGATTTAGTTACGTCTCCTGTTAGCACCACCATGACTGACAACTGATTGTTTGTCTGTACACTCCCAAATAGGCGTCGAAGCTCGAAGTAAAGCTAAAATTCGAGTGTCCGATGCTCTTGATTGAACCGGAAAGCTTCAAATTGCTGATGAATGTTCAAGAGTCTCCACGAACCTTAAACATAGTGTGTTGTCGAAGATCCACATAGTTAAAACACCAAAACCACTTACTTCTTATAGGTTTTATTTACTTGTAGGTATTCTACAAGGATAGTGCACTGTGCTAGTAAACCGTTTGACCTTGTATCAAGGTTGCCAAGATTGATGGTATTTGCACCGATTACAAAAAACAAAACACATTGGCTACTTGTTTCTCAGTCAGTAGCATTTAGGGATCGCAGAAACTGTGCCTGGGGATGCTGATATTCGAGACTAAACTGGACCCATTTTGAGTGGGATTATATCTGTGTTAGTAGTGAGGTTGTAGACCACTTTTGGCGCGCTTCAAGTACATGTTTCAAACAGCAGGGTGACACCTAGGTCCTTTTGTGTAGCACCATAAATTCAAAGTGATGGAACTTTGTTAAGAAAAGAAGGGAGTGTCTGCTTCGATACCTGAGATCCTTTTTGAAAAGACGTTAATGTTCTCGGAGAGCGTTTTAGGTTTGCTATGGTAGCCTACAACAGGACACGAGTCTGATGGTTTTCATACAGCGGCTTTGTTTTTTCTCGTTTAGCAAGCCCAGTTCAAACAAGAGGGATATGAACGCTGTGACGACCCTTGATGCGGCTGGCCATTTTAGTTTAGCGGGCAGCGACGACACGACTATTCGAGTATGTCCCACAAGATCTACTCCGGTGAAGGCCCTATTTTAAAGCACACCTTTGCTTTGCATTGTTGTTGTCATTGGCGCCCAAGTTAGCGGTTTGTGCACAAGTATCCGTTAGTTCGTATTCATGCGACTCCTTTGAAAAGTCCTTATCCTGTCTCCGGGTGGGTCCGTGGAACGCCTCAGATTCGAGTTTCGCTCTTAATAAGCTTATCAGCAGCGCATGTTCCTAACCACACCGGGATTTTAACTCTGGACCTGTAACACGCGGGGTGATCGTATTACCAGTACCAAACGGCGCACATTAGACTATTCTGAACAGGCGAACGTGTTCATCTTGATCAGTATGGTTGCTATAGACCCTTCATACTCATTGCGCCCGTACAGAAGGAAGACTGTTCGGACGAGAGTGATGTAAATTTTTCAGGTTGTACAACAGCCCACAACTAATACCCGTTCTTTTTACCCTGGCTGAGCAAATGAAGCCATTGTTTTGATCATTGATTGACATAGGTACGAGTGACCTGGATGCGCCCTCTTCTTGGAGGTACAATGTCTTCGCGGACACTCTCCCGAGAGATGGTGCTACAGTTGTGATACCGCCAACTTTTCACACGGACCATTGTCTACGGGCTGAGCAACAGACTCTCTACCCTTAAGAGTATGGTGTGAGATACTGAGAAGCTCGAGCACACAAGATCTTCTGTCCTTAAGATTTGTCAGGTGGAAATAGTTGACTAGGTCACGTGGTCATTGAGTGAAGGGTTTTAGGCTGTTCAGCACAGCAAAAAATTGTCTAACATTAGCTTCCTCAATGGGGTTCACCAGCACATTGATAACCAATTGCCGAATGTTGCTGTACAGGACGACACAGAACTCGACCGATCTCTGTGAACCTAACCTGTACTGCGTCAAAGGCCTTACAAGGCCACACAAAACCCAGCCGATCCATATAAACCTAAACCCCAACGGTTCAAATGCCTCGAGCGGGTGAACTTTCCTGGGTGACTACACCACATGCCCAGCACACAGATGTGCTGCGTGCTAGTTGCCAGCTACTCATCTGATTTGAGTAGTAGGTGTTTGTGAAAGAAATCTTGGCGACTTTCCCAGGGTTCAGTGCGGATGCGGAACGCATCCCATTTGTGTGCAGGTGGTCAAAACCACGGAGACCTATTCATTTAGAAATGATATTGTAATATTGAGTATGCGTTCATTTTAACTACGGTAATTTGGCAGCCTAACATTCCTCCAGTCGGTTTATCACCGCACATCATTTCAATCTGATTGCGTTGGGCTGTGGTATCAACAGGGACCTCTCGGCACAGGTTTACCTTCACCGACGAAGTTCCTTTCTACTTGTTAAAACGTCTGAATTTATCAGACGTTTGCCACATTTCTCTGTTGCAATTAAGCGTTTACAAAGAGCCCATGTGCAATGGGAGACAACTTGTCTATGGAAAACGATTTGACATGAACAGATGAACGTGTTTCTTGTCGTAATGAAAGGACGTGTTCAGTGTTCCGTTGTGAGTATGATTCCGCTTTTCCCCGCATTGTAGTAGCAACTGTGCTCATCAAAATTTCGATAATTGAGTGGATGTGGGGTACGCTGACTTACTGGTAATTGTTTATATTACCAAGTTGCTTGTTTC